ATAGTTGTATGTCATAGCTGCACATCCTTCTAGTTGCTGTATGTGGGACGCGGCCCCAGCATGGCCGGAGAAGCGGTGCGTCGGTGCGCGCCCGGAATCCGAACCCAGGCCACCAGCAGCGGAGCGCATGCACTTAACCGCTAAGCCACGGGGCCGGCCCATTGAGTGAACATTCTAACTCAGAACTGCTGTCTGCCCTCCAAAGGTTGCCCTCCACTGCCTCCCATCATCCCCATCACAGATAGAGAGTGGCATCTTCTACTCTTTGGTCAGGCCTCTAACGTGGAGGTCATACTTGGTTTCCCTCCACATGCTTATCTGACATTCTGTTCATCATCAAGCCCTGTTTGTGTTCTTCCAGAGTAGATCTCACAGTGGTCCTCTCTGCTCCACTGCCCATGCTACCACCCTGGCCCCAGCTCCTGCACTGCTCCCCCAGACTCCTGCAACAGCCCCTACTGCCCCCCTCCATAGTCACGTGTCTTATAGGAGCCAGAGAGGTCCTCTTGTAATGTAACCAAGTCATGGTACTCCTCTTCTTAGAATCTCTCCAGCACATCCCATTGAATTTGAGTAAAATCTAAACTGCTGCCTGTGAGGTCTTGCATGCTCCAGCCCCCATCCACCCTCCTCTGCGGTCTCCTCTGAAGCCACACCTTACACATCACACCTGTGTGTCTTTTCTCTTTCTTTAATGGACCGGCCGTTCTTTGTACTTGCTGTCCTTTGCACTCTTTTCATGGCTGGCCTCTTTTCATTCTTATGGCACTTCCCCCCAGGAGCCCATCCTTGGCCTCTCCAGAGGGATGTGGATTGGGGGAGAAAGAGCAGCCTCCTTAGGCAAAACCCCGAGAGCAGGAAGATCTGTGGGTGCAGCTTGGGGAGGGGGGTGGCAGGACCTGCCGCCCATGGCCCTCATTCAGGAGGCCCCATGGGAAGCATGGAAGGAGAGAGAGCCTGCCACACAAGAAGGGGATTGATAGGCCCGGGGTCGGGGGAGCTTCCGGGCTGCAGGACTGAAGAGAAGCAAGCACCAGGCTCAGCAAGCAGGTCTGCTGCAGACAGACCTCAGCCCTGTCCCTCTCATGACCTCCCTTCCCCCTTGACCTGCCCAACCCTGGAACACTAGACCATTTTCTGCTTTTTCCTTTTCTTGTCACATCTCACCGTTCTTGCAATTTATCAAGGTTGTCAGGGTGAGCTTGTGCCTTGCTCTGGCCTTGGCAGCCCCTTCAGAATCCAAGAGCATAATAAAATGCTGAAGTACCTCTTGCTGGGAGACCAAGAGGAAGGGCCCAGTACTACCCAGCTGTACTCGGAAGCCAGCTTTTCTTGAGCATTCACGGGCGCATTGAGATTTGATGATCGAGAGGAGGCCTCTCAGGTTCCCTGGCACCCTCTCCTCCCAGATCAGGCAGAGGCAGCCTAGGGAGGGATGAAGCCAGGCTGCTGCAGGGGTGTAGGGTGGGGAAGCTTCTTGTCCCACTCCAGGCACGTGCCCTGCCTCCATGATGGAGCCTGGACCAGGGGGTAGCTTTCCTTAACCCTGGCCTCTTTTCCTCCCTGATTTACCAGAGCAGCCTGGGAGCGTCCTGGGCCCCGAGTGCACCTCCTGCAAAAGAGTGTTTTCTCCCTACTTCAAAAAGGAACCCGTGTACCAGCTTCCCTGTGGCCACCTCCTCTGCCGGCCCTGCCTGGGTGAGAAGCAGCGCTCCCTGCCCATGACATGCACAGCCTGCCAGCGGCCAGTTGCCAGCCAGGACGTGCTGCGAGTCCACTTCTGAGTGACCAGCCTCAACCTGAGAAGACCCATCACTGGGAGGAGCTGAGGGAGAGCAGGAGTGGGGGTCGCAGCTCCCCTGAGGTCTGGCCAGGTCCCAGGCACAGAGAGGCTTCTTCTTCCCTGAGGGCTTTCCCTTTATCTCTTCCCACAGTGTAGCACAGGCCGAGAGTGAAGGGTGGAGAAGGGAGCACTCCACTCCTGCTCAAGTGGCAATAGGATAACAAAGCCATAGTTTGGGCTGGGAGGGATGAGGGAGATGTCCCTGCCCTCCTGTGCCTCCCTGCCACCCCCTTCCAGAGCCCAGGGCCTGCTAGAGCCCGCCCCACCCTGCTGAGGGCACCCCAAGTTATCTGCACCACCACCCCTATCCTGCAGGGTGGATATGAGTGGAGCACAAAGACTGTGGCTCGGGATCTCAAAGACAGCCTTCTCCTTCAGTGTCACCCAAAAGTGGACCATGGCGGAGGTCTGTGGAGTGAATGACTCAGCCCCCCAACTGGCAGACCACTCCGAGCCTTAATAAAGCAATGGTTGACGTCCACTGTGGGCTTGCTGGCAGAGTGCTTGTCTGTGTCGTCATACTCCTGTCCCCCACTTGCACCCACACAAAGTGGGACTGTCACAGGGCAGCAGTGAGCAGTCACTGCAACCCCATCAGGCTATAATTCAGGTCAGTGGCCTGAAGAGACAAGAAGTCGCATTTTCAGATGTGTCTCGTGTGAGGGTGTGCAGGTGGGTGTGCACGCGGGTGAGGAGGGTCAGGCAGCCTCTCACACTGGGGCCAGCACGTGCTCAGCTGCGTGTGGCGGAGCTGGCTGCGCTGCCCTCTAAGGGAAAAGGCACCGTTTTCTGCAGGGGGCCCATTTCAGGAAAACTACTTGGTTATAGGCTGCCTTTTATTTTTCCATTCAAAATTTAGTTTTATGGAGTCCCAGAGGGAAAATATGTATTCCTACAACCGTTTACTGTAAGGAGTAGATTCTAGTCACTAGAAGAATGTTGGTGAGAAAATACACTGTGTTATTCCCTATTCTTTTCTGAGCACGTTTGGGAAGGAGCAGCCCAGTGATACTTCATAGTTTATCCTTGAGATTTCATCATAGGCCCCGGTGTACAGGCTGTGGGGGGGGTCCCTCCAGCTGCCCAGGAATCGGAGCCGCCTATTCTCCCTCTCCTCCCACAGGCCTGCTGGCTCTGCTTCGCTCAGGTGGACACCCAGGGATGGAGGCTGGTGTTCTCTCTGGCTTCCGTGCTTTGCACAAAGGACAGAGAGAACTATAGTCCTTATACTGACGGAGGAAGGAGGGAACTTACTAAAAATTCAGATTCTTGGTCTCCAGTCCAGACCCAAGAATTTAGAGATCTGGGGTTGGAGTTAGAGAACCTACCTGTTTGAGAGTTCCTAGGCGGTTTGTATGTCCCCAGAGGCAGCTGCGGAGAGGCCTCAGCATCCTTCCTTCTGCCTTCCCTTGACATGACAACCTCACAGGAGACTTTGGTACCTGCGTTTTGTGGGGCACGTGCCCTTTCCTCTCCTGTATCGTTTACTCAACACAAAGGCTGTTTGGGACCTGCAGCCCAGGGCCCTCTGAGAGCAAGAGGCTGGGCCATGGCCCTGAGGCTTTGTAAGGCAGGGCCCTGGTGGCTGTCTACAGATCTCCATCCCCGAGGTACAGAGGGAGACCATGCCTATGTCCTAGCTGTCCTCCCTGTAGGGCCAAGGCCCCAGCTCTCAGCCCTCACAGGCGCTGGGCCGTGCTCCTTGCTGCTGTCACCCTCCAGCCCAGGGGGCAGGCAGAAGGGAGGGCCACTCAGAAGTAGTTCTAAAAGTAGAAGAAGTAGAAGAACCAAATCGCTAGGAAGAAGATGAGCAGCTGATCAGTGCTTGCAGAGTATTGCATCTCCTGGCAGCCTGGCCACAGGGCCCTACAGCACTTGGCTCCTGGGGCCAAATAGGCACCCCCATCCCTAGGCCTGCCCTGCTTTCTCCTCTGGGTCTCCAGCTTGAGGCCACTCAGCTGCTGGGTGCTTTTCCATTACCCAGAAACCCGGTCCTCTGCCAGCTGGGTTGCTGTAAGTAGGTCTGCAGACAGAGACCTGCTCCTGGAGGAAACCGCCTGCCCGGCTTCCAGGCTGCTGCTCACCTCCTGCCTGCGGTATTGTGATTCCGGGCTGGTTGCCATTGTGATGGACACTGGGAGGGGCGGTGCTGCCTCAGGCTGAACTGGCCCCCTCTGCCCTCAGGTTCCTGCCCAGCCTGCACTAGCCTGCCTGGCCTCTCAGCCCGCTTGCATAGGCAGGATCTCCTTCCAGTTCTAGGTTGGAATTGGCTGGGTTGGGAGTTGGCCAAAGATGCACTGTCTGGTATAGTAGCCACCAGCCACATGTGGCTATTTAAATTAATTAAATAAAGTTTAAACCTAGTTCCTCAGTCACACCAGCCTCATTTCAAGCATTTAATAGTCACGTGTGCTAGTGGCTCCCTGTTGGACAGCAGAGATAATGTTCCACCATCGCAGAAAGTTCTGCTGGACCAAAGTAGGAACTTGGTGAGACTGGCCCTTGGCGTTCCTCTTACCTCTAATGAACCTGTCTGGTGAAGTAGGGGGGACCCCCACCCTCCATGGGGGTGGGGGCTTATAATGGAGAGCAGGCTAATGGGGCAGGGAATCAGGTGTGCTTGAACCTTGCCTGCCACCCGTACCTCCACCCTGCTGTAATGCACCCCCTCCATTACAAAGAGGTGCTGTGGCACCAGGGGGATGGCAAGATATCTCCAGAATGGCACAGGGGTGAGGTGAGGAGGAAGGAGGAGGAGGCAGCCCTGTGGCGCTTGGCAAGATTTGTGCCAATAACAAGATGATGCTACCCATAACCATACAATCAAGAGATGACCAAACATTTTCAGTTTTTCCCTCTTAATATTCTTCTATAAGGAAAAAAATGTATGTGTACATACTGTGTGGTTCTCTTGCCTGTTACTTCTCTTAACAATATTGCATGGACATTTGTCCTTGTCATTAGACACTATTCTTATTATAAAGATCATTTGGAAGAACAAGCCAGAATAACCAGGAAAACCCTGAAAATGAAGAACAGTTTGGGCTGGGTATGGGAGAACTAACCCGTGAATACACAGACAGACCAGTGAAACGGAATTAAAAATCCAGAAACAGAACCAGGTGCGTATGGAACTCCAGTGTCCTTCCTGTAACGGCAGCATCAGCAAGGAGGAGGAAAGACAGACCTTCCGGTAAGTGGTGCTGGAGTCACTGGAAGAATGAAACCATCTAAGAACTAGAAGAAAATGGAAAATGAGCGAATTCCTGTAAACCTGGGAGTGAGGAAAACTTTCTGATTAAAAAATCCAGATATAGTAGGGGAAAAATTGATAAATTTGACTACATAAAATTAAAACCAAAAACCCTCTTACATAGCAAAAAAAAAAAAAAGCCACCATTAGCAAAGTAAAAACAAATTCCAAGCTGGGAAAATATATTTGTAACTTGTACTACAATGGTTAATATCCCTATTATATAGCTCCTAAAAATAAGAAAGATTCACAAAGATATGCAAATGGCCTTTTAAATATGTCAAAAGTTGCTCAATCTTGCTCATAATATGATGAAATAAAAATGATTCTGAAATACCCTTTCTTGTTTAGCAGATTGGCACAAATTTCAAAATTTGGCCACAATCTGCTGGTGAGGCTGTGGATTAACAGGTGCTGATGTACACTGCTGGTGGGAATGCAAGGGGTACAGACCTCTGTGGAGGGGAATGTGACAATACCTAGCAAAGTTACAAATGCACGTACCCTCTGACCCAGCCATCCCACTTACAGGATTCAAGCCCAAAGATCCCCTGGCAAAAATATGAAAAGAACAGTTCTAGCCCCACCAGCCAGCAGCCTGAGCAGTTAGGGCTGGTCTTTGGGGAGCTCAGGAGCCGTGTCACCACCCGTGGAGGAGCCAGCCGTGTCCAGAAGATGGGCCCTGGAACAAGTGGTTTACACATACACGATTTAGCGTATATTTTATTTTATTTTATTTTTGCTGTGGAAGATTCACCCTGAGCTAACATCTGCTGCCAATCATCTTCTTTTGTTTGGTATGTGAGCTGACAGACGAGTGGTGTAGGTCTGTGCGTGGGTACCTAACCCAGGCCGCCGAAGCAGAGCAGGCTGAACTTAACCACTAGGCCACCAGGGCTGACCCTGATTTTGCATATATTATCAAGGAGATTATAGAGACTTGGAAGGCCATCCATGTGTATTAAAAAAACTTTTGCATTCAAAAGTTTAGAAAAAAGTTTCTATGTATTGAGCACACAGGCATCGTGAAGTGCCTTATGTGTATTATCTCATCTAATCCTCACAACTCTTAGAGGAAGGAGAAAGCGGAGGCTCAGTACCATGAAGAGTTCATCTGACTGATTCCAAGGCCACCAACTCTTAACCCCTGAGATGCTCTGTAGGTAGCAGAGGCTGGCAAAGAGCAGACTCAAGTCCCCTCTACAGGGGTGGCCTGAATGTTGTCACTGCAGGGCCTCTAAGGATCCCTCCTTTGAACAAGGGCCTTGCACAGGGCACAGGGGCACCACAAGCACTGATCTGTGGGAGACCACCCAACTCCATGACCCATAGGAACCTCTCCACTCAGATCCCAGTCCACCATGCAGTCCGGAACCAGAGGCACAAAAACGTCTAATTATGGAATAACAACTGATGACTAAGCTACCACACAGCTTTTGAAAATTCAAAAATATTATAACTCTAGACATAAAAATAAAAGATGCTTTCGACCCAATAAAGACTCAGTAGAGTTAACGTCATGTAAATGGATAAATCTGGTTGAAATGTGAATGGAAAAGTACCCATCACATGCACTTACTGAAAGAGGAGGGTGTGGGAAGGAGCAAGGAGCCAGACAGGGAAGGAGCAGAGCGGCTCTGGAGGGCCTCTGGCAGGCTGCGGCCAAGGGCAGTGGGTACTAGATCCTACCAGAACCTACGGAGATGTGGTTGCCACACTGCAGAGAGCAATCCCATTTGTGTGATATGTGCAGCTGAGGGAGATGGAGTTTGAAAGAGAAACTGGGTGATTGGGAAACAGTAACCAAATAAGCCCTGCATAGTCCTGGAGGAGTGGGAAGGCATGATGGATGGACAGACTTGGGGACAGCCCCAGGAAGGTGTCAGGAGGCAGAGGCAGGAGGAAGGAGGAAGGGGGGCTGCTGACACCCTCTAAACTGGTAGGGAGAACTGAGTTTGAAAAGAGAAGAGGGAGAGAATCAGGTGGGGAAGGCAGAGACACAGGCTGCACCCCCTCCCACGATTCCTAATACCCTCCCCTTGGGCTCAGGGCCCAGACATCAACTGTGACTCAGCTGATGAAATGCAACCCCATGGCTCATTAATTAGGAAGCCTGTAATTAGCCTGTCTCAGAAACCAGGATCCTCCAGAGAGAACCCCTCTCACCTGCCTTCCTCTCCCTTCAACCCAAATGATGAGATCAGGCTGGGGGGGATCTGGCCCCTGGGAAT